CTCTTATTGCAAAACGTTTGAGTAGAATTCAATCAAGAATTACTGGGTTCAATTTTACAGGGATTTTTGTTTTTTAATTTAATACTTTTTCAGCGTCATTTATTTTATAACTTAAAATAAATTCATTATTTATTTATTATTTCGAAATACAACAAAAAATCAAACAACTTTATTTTTGAGCTTAGAGAGCTAACTATGACACAGAAATTAAATTTTAGAGCTCCAAGAGCTCAAAAACATTGTAATGAGCAGCAAAATTGCAAACGCTTATTGACCGATTTTAACGGGAAGTTGCAGGGATGGCCTTTAGGGTCAATCGTTTTAGAAAAATATATAACTGATACAGACAAATAAACTTTTTTGTTAATTCTGATAAACAAAATTAATTTTATTATTTTTTTTTGTTATTTCAACGTACAAACTAAATATACAAATTCGTTTAAATATACATAGTGTTCATTTAACTAATCTATATTAATATTAGTCATTAAATTCAACATTAATTAATGTAAAATAAATAGAACAAATATTCAGGTAAAATTACGCATTAATTCCAAGCTCTTAATTCTGTATAGATGTGATATAAAAATTAAAAATCTACATTCTTATTACGGTCGTCTTCATTCTTTGTACATGTTATATTAAGAATTCATGGTTACACACATTAAAATAGGCTATATATGATTCATTATTCTTATTTAATTGACTTGTATATCTATTAAAGTAACTTTTTTTAAAACTTTATCAATACTCACAGCTACCAAATGATTGTTTTTTTTATTTTAATGTATCAAGTGACTCAATCTCCGATTTTTTATAAACATCGTCTTGTTTGTTTTATAATAATTTCCAATTAAAAAATTTTGTACATCGCCTGTCTTTGATTTAACTCCAATAAATTTATGAATTTCGAAAACTCTGTTATCGTTAAGCAAAACATTATAATTGGCCCGTTTTTTTTCTTGATTATAAGATTTACTGGTAAATGTATTTTGATTAATGATACATCTCGCATATAAAAAGTATGTATTATCATTACTCAGAGTACATATACGACTTACCGACAAGTAAAGATAGTTAGGTAAGTATGTCATAATTGTTGGCTTTCCTAAAACACCAATAGATCCTATCGTTAGTGTTGAGATCAGTTTAGGTTTAATTTTAAGACATTATTTAAGTATTCCCGTTGATTAAAATTTAGATCTTTATCACAGATAATTAAGAGACGATCAATTACACATTTTAGACGAAAAGCATCACATATTTGAATGCTCACGCCGTTCGCACTTTTAACGTAATTTTGTATGGTTTGATAAAAGTCTTCATATATAAATGCACTGTGAGTAAATAGAGGCCCCCAATTTTCTACACTTTCTGGTAAATGCGCTAACTGATGTACATTATAAGAAACATGTTTCTTTCCGTAAAGCGTTTCGACTCCATTTATAAAACTAATTAAGCATTGCCTAGCATAAATTATTTCGGATTTAGCAATAGATTGTTTAACCAAAATCGAAATTCCATCTACCAGTAAAGTCCAATGTTCAAAATATTCTTTTTTCATAAATTTTTGAAAAACTGGCAAGCTGTAGGCTAATAAAAAAATGATCCACTCGTGAGCTTTGAAATGAGCTCGATCTGACATAACGCGTGGTGGTCGGGAAAATTCAGATGTTGAGTGAATTGACAAAAGAAGAGAATCGACCTCCTTGATAAAGTGACCTAAGTAAAATTTTTCCGCATGATTCTTCGTATCAAACAATAAATTAGCAAACTGCCGGCATACTCCCAATCCAACACAATGCATCCAATCTACATCCAAACTCTTAATAATATCGAAGTCATCCAAATCACACAAAGTAGATTTTTGTTTAATTTCTTTCTTTTCTTCTTTTTTTTTTCGGCAAGTTGTAAATATTGATTATGAGATC